TAGGCAGAGTGACTGTAGCGCTCTAAGGCAGGAAGATTGTATACAGTGTGGCTGTAGTGTTGGTCAGTGGAGAGACTGTAGTGCTTTCAGCTGAGGTGAATACAGTAATTTTGACCATAGTGCTCTGAGGTCAGTGGACAGTGTAACTGTAGTGTTCTGAGATTAGATGTATGTTGCCTGTGACTGCAGTGCACTGAGGGGGTGTAACTGTGGGCAGTGTGACGTAGTGCTCTAGACAGGGTGATTGTGGACATTGTGACTCTAGTGCTGTGATGTGGATGATTGGGACAATGTGTGTATGCTATGAGGCTGGTGATTGTGGACAATGTGACTGTAGTGCTCTAATGTGGGGTGATTATGGACAGTTTAACTGTAGTGTTCTGAGAGTGGGTGACGACAATATGACTGTAGTGCACTGGGTCGGGTAACTATGGGCAATGTGACTGTAGTGCTGTGAGGCAGGTGATTTTGGATGGTGTGACTGTTGTGCTCTGAGCCAGGGTGAATGTGGTGATTTTGCCAGCAGTGCTGTAAGGCTGGTTGATTGTGGACAGTTTGACTGTAGTGCTCTGAGTTAGCTAAACTGTGGACAGCACAATGAGGCAGGATAATTTTGGACAGTGTTACTGTAGTGATCTGAGGCAAAATGACTTTGGACAGTTTGGCTGTAGTGCTTCAGGTAGTGTGATGGCTGGCAATGTGACCATAGTGCCCCGATGCGTGCTTTTGTCGACAGTGTAACTCTAGTGCTCTGAGGCAGGGTGATCTGGTCAGTGTGACTGTGATAATATTCAAAACGTTGGTAGTTTATTGTTGCAAGTCTGTCCTCATTTCTATCCAAAGTTAATCTCCTCTTTGTACACATTCATCATGGTAGCTGTAAGTATAAATTCAAGAATTGTTTAAGGTATACCTTAGGATAAAAATTTCATCCTTATTTTCAAAAGGCTCCATGTCCATGCCTATTTAATCCCTTCCAACCCAGCAACCTTGCAAACACCTGTTTATTCCTTGAACTCTGGGCTCTTGAACATCTGCTAATTTTAACTCCTCCATGGTTTGTGGTCATGCGAGATTCCAATCCCTACAATGCCCTCCTTTCCTCCCTGCACCTTACTTCTCTCTATCTTGCTTCCTTCCTTAAATACTATCTTAAAACCTACCTGTAAGACCTAACCTTTGATTGTCTGCTCTAATACCGCCCTATTTGGCTACGTCTAATGTTACATTATGATGCCCCTGCGAAGTGCTTTGATGTGTTTTACTGCATTACAAATACTATATAAGTGTAGGTTGTTCTTGTTGTAATCAAGGGACATTGGCCACCTGCTTAGAGACAGTATCCCAACATGGGAAATAGGTTTAACAAGCTTAAGTCACATTTTCCATGTGCAATTAGAATAGAATAGAACAGAATAGAATAGAATAGCAATTTATTGTCACGTGTATTTTTACAAAAAAAGAACAGTGAAAAGTTTTATAAGTCGCCATGCGTGACCTGTATTCAAGTAATTGTAGCAGTTTCCTCATCACTGTTTACTGAGACTGTCCTTAAGAAAGAGAGTCTGGCAAAGCATTTCTCGTGCTCTCCAACTTTCTCCTCAAGATTATGCCTCACAATGTGGAAGAGTTGCATAGGTTTGGGCAGCTCTCCCAGACCTAGCTGAAATGGGCATTCTCCATTCACCAACCTGGACGGGCGATGACAACAGCCGTTCAACCACATGGGGCAACATTATTATGTTCTCCGCAATTCACACTCCTAGCGAACATCAAGCTCAATATCTCTCAAGAAGCAGGAACTCAATGTACATTTTTATTTATTTATCCTGTTTAATTTCTACTCCAACTGTAATCCCCAGTTGAGGCCAAAAAACGGCAGCTTGTATTTATACAATGCCTTTAAACATCCTACTTAACAATACTGACAAACAAAATTTGACACAAAAGCAAAGAAGGGACAAGTGACCAAAAAAAAATTGCAAGAAGATGGAAGCATTTTAAAGGAAGGGACAGCAAGTTGAAAGGTTTAGCAAAAGAACTGCAGGTATAGTGGAGGCAACTGAGGGTATGGTTAAGAGATAGAGTATTGAGGCTAAGCAAATCTCGTTCCTTCATCACTTTGCATCACATCTGGGATCCTAGTTGGTGAGAGCGCGTTGGGATATCCTGAAGAGGCGAAACGTCCTTCGAGATGGGAAATGAACATCTCCAGTGCCAGTCAGAAACCCAGTGTGATAGGTGCCACGTAAATGCAAATCCTTTCTGTCCAATTACAGGAGGAAGTTTTCTGGGAATAGAAACAAAAATCTCGAGACAAAGGGAGAGATCACTTGCTGGACATTGAGCAACTGTAGGTTGCCACAGTTTCAACTGAAGAAGGGTAATTTCTGAAACGTTGACTGCCCCTTTCCTCCAGATGCTGCCTGGCCTGCTGTGTTCTTCCAGGCTCCTGTTTGTCTACCTTGGATTCCAGCATCTGCAGTTTTTTCTTTGTGTCTCTCAACTGTTGCCGATTGGCTTCTTATGGAAATGTGTAGCTGGGGGTAGCATGAAGAGATTGGAACAAAAACAAAAGTTGCTGGAAAAGCTCAGCAGGTCTGGCAGCATCTGTGAAGAAAAAGAAAATTCGAGTTAACGTTTCGGGTCCGGTGACCCTTCCTCAGAACTTTCGGTTTTTATGAAGAGATTGGAAGTGAGCATGGGAGAAATGCTGTGATGCCTTTTCATTGGTGTATAATAGGGATTTGAATTGTAGACTGTATCAGATGGAAAGGACTCCCGAGTTATGTACAAAAGGTCCCCAAGCTTCCTGTTTGCATTGTTTGAGCTGGATAACAGTAGTCTTGTTCCAACATGATTACCCAACCTCTTAGAAAACGTGAATCAACCTACACACAAAGACCTGGGCTTGGTCCAGCTGGATTTCATTTCCAATAGCTTAACCTGGGAATTCTTAAGGTGGGACTCCTTCCCTGAAGAGATTTCAGCCCTCTTTTGTTCAATGGCATATGTGCCTGAGCCTGGCAATGCTTTTGTTTTCGGAAAGGTAGGTCCTCCCTGTTTCTGCCTGTCAAAATTTACTCGAAGAAAGAAGATGCAGAATGAAAGTATTGATGGATTTAATTAACTGAGAGACGGGCGGGTGAGACTGGCTTTACGTCAGGCCGTTTGGTTTCACTGTGCTCGATGAGGGCAATTCATCATTCTGTCATTTAGTCAAAAGCAGCCTCAACAAAAAGCTCTTTCTCTTGCCCCCCCAACCCCCACCCCCGCCAAAGCCACCCCCACTGACCGCATCTTTCTCACTCTCTCTCCCGCTCACTCTCCCTGTTAAAGATTCGTGCATCTGTGTGCAGAGAGCACTCACTAGGCAACCACTAACATTTGCCAGTTACGAATACTGATTGATTAATGCGGAGCTCAGAAATGGTTCCATTTTGAAAGCACAGCAGTGAATGCAGCCTCGGTACAGAAGGAATTTCCTGCTGACATTTGGAGCTTGTCTAAAAGAGGTTTCGATGGCTACCGTGGGCGGCCGGGTGATGAGGGAGTTTGGGGTCTTCCTGTAAATTATAATCATTGAGTGAAAACGTCACCCACACCCCCCCCCCCCCCACACACACACACACACACACACACACACACACACACACACAAAACTCACCACCACCCATTCACCGGCCTGAGCCTGGCAGTCAGTCTGAATAAATGTCTGCACCCTCGCCCCCCAACCCCTTCCGAGGCTCGGGTCGGGTGGGGAAGGTAGTGAGAATGTAAGTTCCCCACTTTTCTGTGCTGAAGACAGCTTATTATGGGAATTACATCGGAGTAAGGGCAGGGTGGGGTTTGACGTAGTTTCGAGCCAGTCTTTGGCTCAACGGGCAGCGCTTACCACAGCGGACTATTAATTAAGGGTCCCCACGTAGCGAGTTGTAAAAGTCCTTCAGCTGTTTGAATAGTTTAGCCTGAGCCAACGTGGGAGTGTGAGTACGGAACTGTTCCATGGGAAAGTTGGCGGGAGACCCCTCGGAGAGACAGCATGTTGAAGGGGTTTTCACTAAGACATCGTATCAACATAATGAAGGTATTTCATGAAGCAGCTACTGACGACATCGCTTTTCCTCCCTGAATAAGGAATAAAGATGAGGTGAACATTAAAACTGTTTATCTTCTGGCAGGTTTTAAAGTGGCCTAATTAAAAGTGGAGAGTCAGCTACCTCACGAGTCTAAGTGATGTATGCCATCTATTTCTATTGATCCTAGTAACCTAATCATGATTCAGTGGTTCTCAAGCTCTGAGGATTGAACTCAAGACTGATGTGCTGCCTACTGCGCTAAGACGGGTAGTTCCCAATGTGTTGACTGCTCCTTTCCTCTTGATGCTGCCTGGCTTGCTGTGTTCTTCCCAGCCTTCTGTTTGTCCACCTTGGATTCCAGCATCTGCAGGTTTTTTTTGTCTCTAATGGTTCAGTGGTAACCCTCCCTGCTCTGAGGTTGTGGTTTCAAATTGCCATTCTAGACACTGGACTACATAATCAAGATTGACACATTAGTGCATGAATGCACTGTCAGAATAGCACCTTTTGCACGAGATATTAAGCCAAGGTCCTAGCTTCCCGCTCAGATTCTGTGGCATTTTTCCAAACTACAGATGCATCCTGACCGTTATTATCCAACTATTGCAACATATTTACTGGTCATTTTGACATTTCCACCTGCTGGACTTCGCTGTGCACAAATTGTTTTCCACGTTGCAAAGACCAAGAGTACTTATTGGGTGTAAAGCATTTGTAGACATCCTAAGGCCATGGAAACTGCTATAGAAATGCAAATCTTGCTTTCTGAAAATTTCCCATCCTAAGTGCTTAAAACAGTTCAGTTGCAGTTTATGCATTCTGCATTAAATTATCCCTCATCAAGGATCAACAGATGAAAGGGTTTGTTATCCCACTCTATCTTTCCACACAGTCTGTCACAGTTGTTCTATTCCCTTACAGTGTCAGGCATTGGGAGCCATCCCAATGAGGGGTCTGCAGCAGCTGGACAGACGCACCTTTATTCGGTGAGCCAGTTGGACTCTGATCTCCCACAAGGCATTGCTGACGATGGTAAGTGAAGGCAGAACCAGGGATGATGTATGTGGGGGTAGCGTGCAAGGGGACAGGGTACATGTGACCTCTTTTACTTGGAGAAACATTAATGGGGGAGGGGGGTCTCCAGTCAATTATTTCATATCAGCAATCACTTCACTTTATTTTCCATTGAGAAAATTTTCCATGGAACTATATTTTTGATATTTTGTAAATATATTTTCTTCTGTTAAAACATTCTAAATAAGTAAATAATAACAATAGAGAAAATAATGTTTCTCCTTCACAGATATTTAATATTAATTAAAAGCTGTATTTAAACGATTCCAGTGTAATGTCTCATTTGTATATCAGCTCCTGTTAAAGGTTATTATGGAGAAGGCATAAATGATTTTAGGTGCAGATTTGCACTGATCTGAGGGGTTATAGCATCCAACAGTAAGACCAAGACAAGACATGATCCTCCTTGTTCACAACACTCTTTATTCATGGTGAAATCTTTTGAGAGCAGATTTCCTCAAGGAAGATAAGTTCGCCCTTGTTGCATGTTTACTACATGAGTGGTGATAAACTATATCATTGCAAATCCATCCAGTGTGGCAAGCTGAACAGGTGCTCCCATCCTAATTCTGGAACCCACCTTCCAATTCAGCCCACATTGATGTAGGAAAAATCTCCTCGTACCACCGGCTGTAAGGGTTCCTAAGCTGGACAGCAACCTGTGAGTTGAGGCTGCTCCAAACCTCCTTTTAACCCATTTCATGAGTCAGAAGATTGTAAAATATCTAAGATGAAGGTGGAATACTATCCCTGAAGTGCTGCATTATGTTTGTTTACAACATCGAATCATAGAGTTGTACAGCATGGAAACAGTTGATCCAACTTGTCCATGCTGACCAGATATCCAAAATTAATCTGGTCCCATTTGCCAGCATTTGGCCCATATTCCTCTAAACCCTCCCTATTCATGTACCCATCCAGATGCCTTTTGAATGTTGTAATTGTACCAGCCTCCACAACCTCCTCTGGCAGCTCATTCCATACATGTACCACTCTCTACGGTTAGATCTGTTTTAAATCTTTCCTCTCTCATCTTAAAGCTATGCCCTCTAGTTTTGGACTCCCCTACACTTGGAAACAGACTTTGGTTATTCCCCCTATCCATGCCCTTCATGATTTTATAAACCTCTATAACGTCACCCTTCAGTCTCTGAAACTCCAGGGAAAATAGCCCCAGCCTATTCAGCCTCTCCCTACAGCTCAAACCCTGCAACCCTGGCAACATTCTTGTAAATCCTTTCAGAACCCTTTCAAGTTTCACAACATCTTTCCTACAGCAGGGAGACTAGAATTAAATATAGTTCAAAAAATGAAAGGTAAGAGCAAGAATTGAAGTTGTCAAGGTGGAGTGGAGCCTGTGGGGGAGCCAGAAGGATGTCAGAACGATTTCTGACAAGATAAGACAAACAGCACAGATTAAATAGAAGTACAAGTGCTGAAAACAAAAAATGCTGCAAATACACTTTTGTTGATGCTATTGGTCAGACAGCATCTGAAAAATGGAGACAAACTCGGATGTACTTTGCTTTTATATGAAAGCAAAATACCGTGGCTGCTGGAAATCTGAAATCAAAAACAGGATATGCTGAAAGTACTAGACAACAAGCTGCAGGGCTGGGTGAACACAGCAGGCCAAGCAGCATCATAGGAGCAGAGAGGCTGACGTTTCGGGCCTAGACCCTTCATCAGAAAAGGGGGAGGGGAAGGGGGTTTTGAAATAAATAGGGAGACAGTGGGAGGCGGATAGAAGAGGGATAGAGGAGAGGATAGGTGGAGAGGAAACAAACAGGTCGAAGAGGCGGGGATGGGGCCAGTAAAGGTGAGTGTAGGTAGGGAGTTAGGAAGGGGATAGGTCAGTCCAGGGAGGACGGACAGGTCAAGGGGGCGGGATGAGGTTGGTCGGTAGGAGATGGAGGTGCGGCTTGAGGTGGGAGGAGGGGATAGGTGGGAGGAAGAACAGGTTAGGGAGGCAGGGACGAGCTGGACTGGTTTTGGGATGCGGTAGGGGGAGGGGAGATTTTGAAACTTGTGAAATCCACATTGATACCATTGGGCTGCAGGGTTCCCAAGCGGAATATGAGTTGCTGTTCCTGCAACCTTCGGGTGGCATCGTTGTGGCACTGCAGGAGGCCCAGGATGGACATGTCGTCTGAGGAATGGGAGGGGGAGTTGAAATGGTTCGCGACTGGGAGGTGCAGTTGTTTATTGTGAACCAAGCGTAGGTGTTCTGCAAAGCGGTCCCCGAGCCTCCGCTTGGTTTCCCCGATGTAGAGGAGGCCACAACGGGTACAGCGGATGCAGTATACCACATTGGCAGATGTGCAGGTGAACATCTGCTTGATGTGGAAAGTCTTCTTGGGGCCTGGGATGGGGGTGAGGGAGGAGGTATGGGGGCAGGTGTAGCACTTCCTGCGGTTGCAGGGAAAAGTGCCGGGTGTGGTGGAGCTGGAGGGGAGTGTGGAGCGGACAAGGGAGTCACGGAGAGAGTTGTCCCTCCGGAAAGCAGATAAGGGTGGGGAGGGAAAGATGTCTTTGGTGGTGGGGTCGGATTGCAGATGGCGGAAGTGTCGGAGGATGATGCGTTGGATCCGGAGGTTGGTGGGGTGGTACGTGAGGACGAGGGGGATTCTTTTTTGGTTTTTATTGCGTGGACGGGGTGTGAGGGATGAGGTGCGGGAGATGTGGGAGACACGGTTGAGGGCGTTCTCGACCACCGAGGAGGGGAAGTTACGGTCCTTGAAAAACGAGGACAACTGAGATGTACGGGAGTGGAATGCCTCATCCTTGGAGCAAATGCGGCGGAGGCGAAGGAATTGGGAATAGGGGATAGCATTTTTGCAGGAAGGTGGGTGGGAGGAGGAGTATTCTAGGTAGCTGTGGGAGTCGGTGGGCTTGAAATGAATATCGGTTTCTAGGTGGTTGCCCGATATGGAGACAGAGAGGTCCAGGAAGGGGAGAGAGGTGTTAGAGATGGTCCAGGTAAACTTAAGGTTGGGGTGGAAGGTGTTAGTGAAGTGTATGAACTGTTCGAGCTCCTCGTGGGAGCACGAGGCAGCGCCGATACAGTCATCAATGTAACGGAGGAAGAGGTGGGGTTTAGGATCGGTGTAGGTACGGAAGAGGGATTGTTCCACGTAACCTACAAAGAGGCAGGCGTAGCTTGGGCCCATGCGGGTATCCATGGCTACCCCCTTTGTCTGTAGGAAGTGGGAGGAATTGAAAGAGAAGTTGTTGAGTGTGAGACGAGTTCGGCTAAGCGGATGAGGGTATCAGTGGAGGGGGACTGGTCGGGCCTGCGGGACAGGAAGAAGCGGAGGGCCTTAAGGCCATCTGCATGGGGAATGCAGGTGTAGAGGGACTGGACGTCCATGGTAAAGATGAGGTGTTGGGGACCGGGGAATTGGAAGTTCTGGAGGAGGTGGAGGGCGTGGGTGGTGTCACGGACATAGGTAGGGAGTTCCTGGACCAAGGGGGAGAAAATGGAGTCTAGATAGTTGGAGATCAGTTCGGTGGGGCAGGAGCAGGCGGAGACAATGGGTCGACCAGGGCATTCAGGTTTGTGGATTTTGGGAAGGAGATAGAAGCGGGCAGTGCGAGGTTGGGGAACGATGAGGTTGGAGGCCGTGGGTGGGAGGTCACCTGAGGTGATGAGGTTGTGGATGGTTTACGAGATGATGGTTTGGTGCTCAGGGGTGGGGTCATGATCAAGGGGGCGGTAGGAGGAGGTGTCGGAGAGTTGGCGTCCGGCCTCGGCGATGTAGAGGTCAGTGCGCCATACTACAACTGCGCCTCCCTTGTCCGCGGGTTTTATGGTGAAGTTGGGATGGGAGCGGAGGGCTGCACGTTCTGAAAGTACTCATCATCTGTGGAGAGAGAACAGAGTTAACATGGCAAGTTATTTTTGCTACTTTTCTTTCATTCCTCAATGGATTTTCTGAGGTTTTGGGCTTATCACAATTGAACAGACACAGCCTGTCGAAGATTTTCTCTTCTTTTTTTTTGCATATTCTTTGGCTCCTTTAATTTCCAGCTATCTTGCACTCTTTATCAGCATCTTTTTCCACTTATTTCTCTATTTTGTCTCTGACTGTGTTCCTCTCTATTCATATTTTAATTCATCTCTACCTTTATATTGTGTCGCTCTGTCTCTGTTTGCTTGTTTTTATCACCCTTTCCCATTTTTGCCTCTTCTCTCTCTCTCATGTCATTTCTTTCTCTCTCTCCATCTCACTGTCTTTGCCTGTGTGTAACTATCTATCAGTCTCTCTGTCCCTGTTCACATCCCCAGCATCACACTATTATAGTCCAATTCCAGGAATATTGAAAGCATGGAGATTTTCGAGCTCGGGTGGTTCTGTATCAGAAAATGAGAGCTGACCGCTGTCTTTAGAGGCAGGAACGTTCTACTTAGGGGTAGAAGCAAGGCCAGCTACTAAACCTGAATTGTGTTGTGTTTGCTGGAAGTTATGCAACAGGGCAATGGTAGGGCTAATGCCTGCTTAAGCATCTTGTTGCATTATATTTCATTGAACTGTGGTGACTACAGTGCTTGCTTTGGACTGGATCTCACTGTTTTAAACCAATTTGGCAACACCACAGGAGATATTGTTATAATGGGTTCATGAACATGTATGTGCTGCACCTCCAGAAAATGCTCACCAATAAGGCTTTTACGAGCCATCTCCAGAAAGCTTATCTAGCATAACATGACTCCACTAATTATTTATTCCAGCGAGCGCCAACAGCAATATTGAAGGAGCTGTTGTGATACCTTAATTACTTCATTGAAGCAATTGTTACATTACAGGGAATTAATCAGTGGGACAGCTCTGAGAACAGATGCAGAGCAGCATAAGTCTTCGATTCACTGTCTGCATCAATGTATTAATAAGGAGACTCTATTACCACTAAGATGGAAGCCGTCATCAAGCCTGTATGAATAAATTGATTCCATGACTAACATTGTGACCATCCAACACATTCTGTTAATAAGTTGATTCCGTTCATAACAATGAGAGCCATCCAAACAGTGCATTAAAAAATCAATTGTATCATGAACAGTGAGACCAGATTCCATTCCCCACACACTGTGTTAATAGCTGGATTCCATTACTAAAAGTGTGATCCATCTCACTTTACCTTAATATAGCATAAAACTGTAAAATAATTATAACACAGAAGGAGACCATTCAGCTCATCGGCCAACTGTAAAAGCAATTTAGCTAGAATCCTGGCTCCCTCCTTTCCCCATAGCCCTGCAAATGTTTCTGTACAGGTTGCTTTTCCAATTTCTTTTTGATGCCACAGTTTGACCTGCCTTCGCCATACTCTTAGGCAGTACATTTCGTACCCTCACCCACTTGCTGTGTGAAAGTGTTTCACCTAGGGTTACAATTGGTGTTTTTGCCAATCATCTTAAATCTGTGTCCTCTGGTTCTCAACCTACCAGTCCGAGCAGGTTCTCTCGATCCACACTGTCCAGACTCCTTGTGGTTTTGTACACCTCAATCAAATCTCCCTCTCAACCTCCAACTCCTACAATCTATCCATTCAATATGAAGTTGCTCACTCTTGGAACCCATGTTGTAAATCTTTTCTGCAGTCTCTCTACAATCTTCATAGTCTTCCTAAAGTGTAATGCACAGAATTGCATCCAGTATTCCAGCCTAGGCCAATCTAGAGTTATACGAATATTCATCTTAACCTCCCTGCTTTTGCACTTCATACATCTATTTATCAAGCCCAGGATAACACATGGTTATTTAATCAACTACCTGTTCTGCTAGCTTCAACAATTTCTGCACCTCAACGTGTTCATGCACCTCCTTTAGATTGTATGCTACACTTTGTATTGTCTACCCTTGTTTTGTTTTACTTGAATTCATTGCATTGGCTGAAACCGTCAAACAGCCTCAACACTCAGTCTGTATTTTTCTCATTCATTCATTCACAGGATATTGTGGTTGGTTGGCTTGCGGAGCTGGTTCGTTGTTTTTCTGCAGACGTTTCATTACCCTACTGGTTAACATCGTCAGTGCAGCCTCTGATGAAGTGCTCAATGGACTCCAGAGTTTAAATAACAGGCAAGAAAAACATAATGGCGCTTCATCGGAGGCTGCACTGATGATGTTACCCAGCAGGGTAATGAAACATCTGCAGAGAAACAATGAACCAGCTCGGCGAGCCAACCAACCACAACATCTACAACCTGAGCCACAAATCTACTCTAAAATCACAGGATAATGTCAACAGAAGGTCAGCAATTAATGTCCACCTTTAATAGCCATTGAGGAAGGTTTAATGAGCTGCCTTCCTAAACCGTTGCTGTTCGTATGTTGAGTGTATTTACATGGCATTATTAGGAAGGGAGTTCCAAGATTTTGAGCCTGCAACATATCTCCATATTAGTTTCTTTATTCTTTCATGGGGTGTGAGTAACACTGGCAAGGCTAACATTTGTCACCCACTCTTAATTCCCTTGAACTGAATGTCTTGCTTGGCTATTTCAGAGGTATTCAAGAGTCAACCACATTGCTGTGGGTTTAGAATCACATGTAGGCCAGACCAGGTAATGGAGGGAAGATTTTCTTCTCAATGGATTTTACAACAAGTGATAATAGTTTCATGGTCACCATCACTGAGACTAGCTTTCAGTTCTACATTCATGACATATGAACAAGGAGCAGGAGTAGGCCATTCAGCCCCTCGAGTGCACTGCACCATTCAACAAGATCGTGGCATGGTTCAATACAACATCACCTGGGCAACACCAGTTCACAATTCTGTAGGTACACTGCTCATGATCTCTGCTTTCCTTTTGAGTATTTCTTCGTTTGTGTGGCTTCATTAATGGGTTTCACACTTATAATTTAAAGTTAAGATATAAATCAGCCATGATGGCTCAGTGGTTAGCACCGCTGCCTTACAGTGCCATGGGCTGAACCCAGTGAGCTTCCACACTGTAGGTATTCTATGAATCTATATTTGAATTGAGTGAAGGAACAAACTTTGATGGGATGGAATGGCCTTCTGCTGTTCCCACCAGATGAGGAGGGCCTAGGGAATTAGCTTGTGGTCATCAATATCAGACAAGGTAGCCATGTCTTGGTAAGTGCTACACCGCCTCCATTATGGGCCATTATTCTGCACTTATCTGCCTTTTTTTCCACACAGAGTCTGAACCGGTAACATTGGAGGATGATTCATTGCATCAACTTGAAGATTTGCCATTTCTCTTCCCTGTGCCAGAGGTTGCCCCATCAGGTAAAAGTATTGAAATGTACATTCTGTAAGTAATTTAACTGTGAATTGTTTAAGACGGCATATAATTTTTAGAGAATGTATCACACCATATGGTATTATAATTTTTAGGTTCAAAGTTGGGTTTGTGCAGAACTGTATTGCCCATATCAGATTCCTGTGCCTCACTTTTTCCTCGGATCTAAACTCTGGGATTCCCTCCCTAAACCTCTGTGCTTCTCTTAGTTTCCCTTCTGCTGTAGAATCCTCTTTAAAACCAACTCTTTGAATGATCTTAATGCCTATTTCTTTGTCTCAAAATGAATTTCATTGTTCTTCAAAGGATTTTACTTAGATATCGGAAGGTTTTATAATGAGGTTGTTGACTTGCTTGCCGAGCTGGCTTGTTCTCATTCAGACGTTTCGACACCATATTAGGTGACATTATCAGTGCAGCCTCCGATGAAGCCGTGTTATTCTACTCCGCTTGGAATTTATACTGTTTGGTCCATTATGGTGAGTGGTGTCATTTCTGGCTTTGATCTGTATGGGTTTGTATATGGGGTCCAATTCTGTGTGTTTGTTGATTACATTACGGGTGAAGAATCATGCCTCTAGGAATTCCCGTACATGTCTATGTTTGGCTTGGGCTACTACGGTTACGTTGTCCCAGTTAAACTGATGGCCTTCATTGTCTGAGTGTACCGATATTAAGGAGAGTTCGTCGCTGAACATCAACTAGCAGCAAAATGGCACGACGAGCTCTCCTTAATATCAGTACACTCAGACAATGAAGGCCGTCAGTTTAACTGGGACAAGGTAATCATAGTAGCCCAAGCCAAACATAGACACACACGGGAATTCCTAGAAGCATGGCTCTCCACCCGTAATGCAATCAACAAACACATAGAATTGGACCCCATATACAAACCCATACAGATCAAAACTGGAAAGACACTACTCACCATAATGGACCAAACAGTATAAATTCCAAGCGGATTAGAATAACACGGCTTCATCGGAGGCTGCACTGATAATGTCACCTAGCATGGTGACAAAACGTCTGAACGAGAACAAGCCAGCTCTGCGAGCAAGTCAACAACCTCACCCACAACCTGAGCTACAGATCTTTGCCAAAAATTTGAAGGTTTTACAATGTTAGAGGTGCTATATCATTTCCAATAATGTATCTGGTTCAGATTTCCTCTGTATCAGGATAAAGCTACAATGTGACAACTTTGCAGGGAAGGCACCTTTCATTAAAAAAATGATGTTGGACTGGCGTGGACAAGGTCAGAATTCACATAACAGCAGGTTGTAATCCAACAGGTTTATTTGAAAACACAAGCTTTTGGAATCTTACTTCTTCCTCAGCTGTTAGTGAGAGAGGTAGTATCAGACACAGAATTTGTAAGTAAAAGATCAAAAGGTCACACCACTGATGAGGATTTACTAAACAAACCTAAGATGCTGTTAAATCTTTAATCAGTGAGAAGTTTTTAATTGATATGCATATGTAAACTCCCGAATTCCTTTCAATCCCAGTGCTGTGAGAACTAAAGGTTTTGTCATTGTAAGGAAGAGGTGACATTTTAGGTCAGGCAATACATGTTAGGTGTGAGGCCTTGTTTAGAAACTGTTCGTGTTTTGGTTTGGAGTCAGACTGGTTTTATTTCAAAAGTAGGAATTAATAAAATGCCACATTGACTGACTGACTGTCTATAAATAGAATGTATCTGCAAATATATGTGTGTGTGTGTGTGGCGGGGCGGGGTGGAGGGGTGCGTGGAGAGAAGAACAAATGTGATGGTTAACTGGAAGGGTCAAGAATTTTGAAAAAATTAAGCGTATGTACCCCACACAGTACCATTTCGCCCGAAGTAAGGAAGACCTATGCCAGGAATTGTGTGTTGTCATTGGTTTCTACTCTGCTACTTTACTACTCTACTAATGTCTTCATGAAAAGAAGGTCTCGTCCTCAACCACGCCATGATTTTCTTGAAGTTGTATGTTTCCATTCATTCACCATTAAACTCACCACAGACTGTTTAGACTGGTATTTAGCAGCTTAAGTTCCCTTTTAATGATACAGCAATCATTTAAAAACTGCCAGTAAACCCGTCTAGCCAAGACTTAATTAATAATTAAAAGTTTGGATTGAATTTTCATTCTTTTAAGTTTTGAAATGTTCTTGTACAATTAAAAGAAAATCAAGATTGAACTTTTCTGTATATTTCCTATTTAGGTATTTTTTCAACAACACCTGATTTGATACTCTATTATGAATCACTGGTGTCTGTCCTTCTATATTTTGTTCTTAGCATTTAATTCTCATTGGTTAAAGAATTAGACTTTTTGGTCCATCATTCACTGAGTCTCCAGATGCCCTCTTGTCTTTACATTGCAGTTATCAGCCCACACTTCCAGCAATTTACAGTATATAGCACTTTTGTGATGAAGGATACAGGATAAAGTCTAAATTCTATCCCAAGATCTTTAAGCTATAGTTTAGACAATCTTTCAGAGCATTGCAAATAAGATAAGAATAGTTTTCAGGTAAAGTGAGGTTAATTCAGGGGTGCGCTCATTGGTGTAATTTAGCTCTCACTTTAAATACTATAGTTATTTGTATATTGTCAATGCCTATTCCACATTTATAATGGAACCTACTTTCCTCAAAAAGGAGTTAGCTATATTCAAAGGGCGAAAATTTACCGGACTAGAAAAAAAACAGTAAATAGAACTAAATGGACTCCTTCAAAGTTCTAGCATTGGCATGATAGGCAAAATTCCCTCTTTCAATGCTGTATAGCTTTACAATACATCTGCAAACACTGGCAGCAAAGTATAAATGATCATTTTACTCTTCTGCCAGTAATAACACTGCGGTGCATCTGCTACTTAGCCTTCACTGCAGGGAAAGTTAACAACAGCAACTTCCATTTACATAAGATATATTATTTAACATAGTAAAATGTCCCAAAATGAATTACAGAACTATTATCAAACAAAAACTTGATACAAAGCCAGCTAAGAGACATTAGGACAAATGACTTCTAACCTGGTCAAAGAGGTAGATTTTCAAGAGTATCTTAAAGGAGGAACAAAAGGTAAGAGAGGCAGACAAGTTTTAGGGAGAAATTTCAGAACTTAAAACTTTTCAACCTAGACAGTTGAAGGCAAGGTAATTAATTAATGGTGCTGTGAGTAAAAAGGTGATACACAGGAGTACAGAAATTGATATGTGCAGAGATTTCGGAAGGCTCAAAGGCAGGAGGGTGAGGTCTTGGTGGGATTAGAAAATATAAGGATGAGAATTTTTAAGTTGAGGCAACCTCAGACTGGGAGCCTGCGTAGGCCAGCAAGCGCAATGATGGTGAGAGAAAAGAAATTGTGCAAATTAGGACATGGGGAACAGATTGAGAACCTAAGCTTAGGTAGAATGCTATACACATGGTTAGCCATGAAACATTGTGGAGTAAATGGTTAACTGTACCAATACACTGACAATACTTCTGGTCATTTGCATAAGGAGCTATGTCATCATGATGGCAGATCACATGAGACTGAGACCTGATGGATGATGGCTGTTTTGTGTTATTGCATAGATTCCGGACCAGATAGACAGTGTACCTTTAAGACAGTTGGACAACATCACAATACATTCCAGTATAAAGTTACACTCCTCACTTTTGGGAGCCAATATTATTGTTGTAGCAGCAGCATTAATCATAGTAACAACAGTAAACATAGAATCCAGACTCTGTGTAAGTCTGAGATATTATAAATAATTAGTGTCGCTCATAAACGTCAAGATATCCATTTCAACAAGAACCCAGTCTTTGTGGTAAATGCTAAAGGGGCTAGCGCATAGGGAACACAAACCATATCATACTGGCAGTGGTGTTTTACCGCAACAGTACTGAATCCCTGCTCTACAATGCTGATAGGCAATAAACATGAATAGTTTGCATTCACCTTATGTTCAGACCTCGTATATCTAGAACTCACAGAAGCCCCTAACAATATTCCTATAAATATCAGAACCATTGACTTTTTTAGAGGAAACAAAGGAATAGATGAAGATTTTAGGATCTACATGCCTTAAAAGTTTCACATTGACAGCTGATATCACACTTGCCGTCATTTCCGTGTTTATGCTTTGCGAATATTTGAATGCTTTAAATATAATCATAGAAGAGTGAAAAATTATAATTCAAGGCATAGCAAACAAGTCAATCAACATGCAGTTGTTTTAAGTGTATTAAAAATAGTTACGTATTAGTCAGCAAGAAGAACTGTTCTATGAACAGTGACAACAAATTGATTGAAGTCACTATAATATCTGGCTGTATAATGTTGGGACATTGTGACATTGTGTCATTGTGCGTGGGACATAGATGTGTTAGGAACAACCGATGGTCTAGGGATAAAACGTGGTCATGTGATAAGCAGAGAGCTTTCCCACTGGACCAGCAGGAGGAACCATGTGGGAGAAGATCCAGAGAAGTATTACTGATGGTCTGTGAGCAACATGTTAACTCTTCCTCTCATGTTTGAATTTGAAAATGATCTAGATTTTGTACTCCCAGTTAGCCTCAGTCCAGGATAACGTGTTTCTCTTCGTTGCAGACTATTCCGATGTGGTTTGGTGGTTTACATCCTGTGGAGCCAGTGGTCCCAATGGCCCCACTCAGGCCCAGTGTGACAACGCCTACCGCCACACTAACGTCTCTGTGGTTCTACAATCGGAGGGCCCCCTCAAGGGCATCCAGATCTGGCAGATACCTGCCACCAGCAAATACATGTAAGCAGAACTCTCTGATTTAGCATTTAACATCAGCACATCCTGAGTCAGTAGCAGTCCATAGCCGATCTCGGGCAGGTGCAGTGAGCCATATAAATCCACGAATACCGGTCTTGGTGAACCAAATGATGCGTGCCCCTTGATTGACCAGCCCTGAGACACTCTGGTCCAGTGAGCCATTGCTAATAGCACGCGATAAGAGCAGTTTCTCATAAATCGGCCAGACGCCCAGTTTTAATGAGGCTTTTTGTAGCCCTTGTTGCCAGAGCTACCTGTTGCATTGAAAGAATGCCCACCATAGGACCATTTTAAAGTTGCTCTTGTCAGGCCTCTGTGCTCAAAAGCAAACCAATGTGTTCTGGTTGACACATTAGGCCCAACCAATAATGCCAGCTCTGATCCCCCACTCCAATCAGTCCAGACCTCATTTCAGTACATTCCTCAATATCACAGGAGGCCATGGCCTCGTGGCATTATCGCTACCAATTCATCCAGAAACACGGGGTCCCGCCGTGCTTGAATCCTGCCAGGGCAAATGGTGGAATTTGAATTCATTAAAAAAAAAATCAGAAATTAAGAGACCAATAATGACCTTGAAACCAGGGCTAATTGTCAGAAAAAAACACACCTGGTTCACCTATAGTCCTTTAATGAAGGAGACTGGTCTGGTGTACATGTGACTCCAGGCCCATAGCAATGTGGTTGACTCTTAACTGGTCAGTAAATGCTGGCACAACCAGTGATGCCACATCCTGTGAGCAACATTAAAAACAATTATAGGTCAAGTAGTGACAGATATAAGTAGTAATTTCTACAAGAGCAGGTCAAGAGCTGGGAATTTGACAGCGAGTAACTCACGTCCTGACTCCCCAAAGCCTGTCCACCATCTACAAGGCACAAGTCAGGAGTGTGATGGAATAGTCCCCACTTGCATGGATGGGTGCAGCTCCAACAATGCGCAAGAAGCTTGACACTGTCCAGGACAAAGCAGCCCGCTTGATTGGCACCATGTCCACCACCTTCAATATTCACTCGCTTTGCCACCAACACACAGTGGCAGCAGTGTATACCACCTACAAGGTGAACCATAGCAAATCACCTGAGCTCCTTCAATAACATCCACAACCTCTATCACCTAGAAAGATGAGAGCAGCAGACTGCGTGGCGACACTGCAAGATCCCTTCCAAGTCACATATTGTCCTAAACCAGAAATATATCGCTGTTCCTTCAGTATTGCTGGGTTCTGAAACTCCCTTGCCTGTCCCTACTCACCAAATGATTCACGAAGGCAGCTCATTACCACCTCAAGGGTAGTTGGCCATAGGCAACCATCTTGCTCCAAGAACGAGTAAAATAAAACCCCTATGCTAAGCTGTGCTGGTTCTGATTTCTATAGATCCTTAACGCTGATTGGCGCCAGCCCAGATTCCAGTTGGTCCTTATTGGTTTGCTCTTGCTTTGAATCTTGCTTTCACTATCCCAGCTGTAATTCAGGTGGATCTCTCACTGTTTAGTTTCTCCCTCAAATTTGGTAGTCCCTAACCAATCCTGTCTCTCTAGGATGTCTGCCTATGGAGCTGCTGGAGGAAAAGGAGCCCGGAACAGCAATAAGAGGTCCCATGGAATTTTTATTTCGGCCATCTTTCATCTGGAGAAGGATGATCTACTTTATATCCTCATTGGACAGCAAGGAGAAGATGCCTGCCCAGGGGTATATGAAATCTCTGCCACATCTTGTGTGTCACAGTGTAAAAATGAAAGAAGCAAATGGTGTTTGGTGTATCAGTAGCAAGTTGATTTGATTTAAGCTTTATTGTCATGTGTACTCAAGTACAGGTGTACAGTGAAAAGTGTACAATGTCGTTACATACGGCAACATCTTCGGTACAAAGCTACCCAAGTACAAAACTTAGGCACAATTAATAACATAAAGAAACAAAGTTAAAAGTAAAGCATTACTGTTGTTCTTAGTACCAGTAGAAAAATAAAGAAATAAATTTGAAAGTTAACATTACAACCCTTCCTAGTATTAAGTAGAAAAATAAGGAATAATGGTAAAACTTCAACAGTCTTTCTTAAGTGCACTCCCTGCAAGGTTTCGCTCCTCTGCTTTGGCTCGTTCTCCGGGAAATCTCGGCTTTCTACTCTTGATGCCACAAATGCCAGGGGGCCGACACTTGGACTCGCTCTAACCATGTTGGGCTCAGGGCCTCAGCCGCTTCCACGCACCGAACCTCCAGCCAACACCGTTGCAGTTGACAATTTGGGACTCTGGATTTGATAGTGTGCCCACCTTGAAACAGATGCACATTTAGTTGGGTAATACATCTGTCTGCATTGTCTCCTTGACTGTGGAGCAGGAGGTAGCAGACCTTACTATATTCATAGAATCATAAAATGTTTACTGCACAGAAGGAAGCCATTCAGTCTATCCGGTCTGTGCTGGCTGTTTGCCAGAGCGTTTCAATCCCAGTTGCTGCCCTTTGCCCATAGCACTGCCATTTTCTACCTCTCCAGGCACTTAGCCAATTTCCTTTGAAAGCCACACTTGATTCTGCTTCCAGTATGTATCTCAGTCAATGCCACCAGATTCGAAATACTTGGTATATGAAAGATGCCACCTTTAGTAATGTTGCTCAGAGGGTTGTCAGGATCTCAAACACTGTACCCGAGAAGGTGAGGATGTTGATTCCATAAATAATTTTTTAAAAAAAGTTTGCCACTCACAACCACCCATCCCAATACTTAGTCCAGTGACAGCAGACCGAATGGCCTCCTTCAATTTTCTATGAAGGTAAGATGTTAGTGACAAAACACCCTGGTCAATGTGGCGAGATTTAAGGAACAATTCAGGAAGAGAAACAGATGGAGAAATGGAGAAGTTGAGGGAGCGATTCTACATTTTAGGGGCCAGGTACCTGACAGCATTCTCATCAATAGCGATTACAATCGGTATTATCAAGAGGCCTGAATTGGATGCTTTGCAGAGAACTCAGGGTGTTGTGAGGCTGGAGGAGGTTGTAGGGAATGGGCTAGGCTATTAAGGGGTTTGAAAACAAGGTTGGGAATTATAAAATAAAGACATTCAAGATCTCAATTGGCTTTTATATCTCCTTACAGCTGACAGCTTTGCACTTGGTGCAGACACTATCACATCCTACTGTTTAGTAACTTCTTAAGCAGGTTGGAAGGCATCTCAGTGAATTTGCCTGCCACTATATCCACAAAACAAAAGAGTTGCAACTCTTTCAGGATAAGCTACAGCAAAATCTTCAATCTTGGCTCTGTTTTCCATTTTTAAGAGAATCAGGTTCGGTGATTCTTCCAGACACCTTTTTGTGGACCTTGAAGCTGTGGTGGTTACACTTGAATAACCACACCATAGCTGTGATAATCTCACCCATATAACCAGCAGAATGTCTTTATCACCAGATATTACCTTTAATGTATTCTATGAATTTATTTTATAATATTACTTTTATCTACAGCCAGAAGAGAGAGGCGGTAGTTGTGAGGCATTGTCTGTAATGTTTAAATTCTCCTAAGATACTAGAAGAGAAGAACTGCAAACGTTACCCTTTATTTTGGAACAAATTTAACGATAAACCCAGAAACTACAGACCAATCAGTTTAAGCTTGTCGGTTTTAGAAATGATAATCTGGGGCAAAATTAATTAAGTTTAGCGAGAGTGGATTTGTTGAAGGCAGATTATGAATAATTAACTTGATTTGAGTTTTCTGATGAGGTAACTGAGAGGGTTGATGAATATAATGCTGGTGGTTTGCTGTATGTCAGAAGACATTTGGCAAAGAGGTAGATAGAGTTATAGAATGGTCACAGCACCAAAGGAGGCCAGTTTGACTTGCTGTGTCGCGTCCTGCTCTCTGCTAGCCTTTTTCTCCAATCCCCAGGAGATTGTTTTTCTTTCAGATAGGCATCCAATTCTCTTATGAAAGCCTTGATTGAATCTGTCTCCATCACAGGAGTCTCAAGCAGTATATTCCCCAAAAGGGGCATTAGTGAACCAGATGGATTTTTCCAACAATAATTCATGGTCATCATTAGACCCTTAATTCCAGATTTTATTGAATTCAAAATCTGCTGTGGCAGGATTCGAACCTTGGTCCCAGACTATTATATGGGACTCTCGATTAATAGTCCAGTGATAATGCCACTAGGCAATCAACTCTACCTGCTGTTTAAAAATGTTTTTTTTCTTCACGTCACCATCGATTCTTACACCAGTTGCCTGAAATTGATGTCCCTGTTTCTTGACCCTTCCACCAATTAGAACAGTTTGTCTTTACCTACCGTCCAGGCCCCTCATGATTTTCGATGTCTCCCCTCTGAATAAGACCGTGAGATGTATGAGCAGGAATAGTCCATTCAGCTCTTCGAGTGTACTCCACCATTCAATGAGATCATGGCTCATCTGATAAGCTCAACTCCATTTCCCTGCCTTTTTCACATAACCCGTGATTCCCTTACTGATTAAAAATTTGTCTGTCGCAGTCTTGAATTTGCTCAACAACCCGGTCCTCTGTGGTCAAGAATTCCACAGATTCATCTCTTCTTCACTTGCTGACCTTCCCTCTCCAGATCCTGACCCCTCAGTCCAGCCTCAGAAGTGAGTGGCTAATTGGGTTGGTCAATAATTGGTTATTTAAGGGCTTCAGTTGGAGGACAGGTGGGTGGGGCACCCTAGGCCTCACACCCCACTTTATAGCAAGGTTGGAGTCAAGCAGGAGGGCAATGGGAAGGGCACCTGGTGAATTTTACGCTCCCCCAGCCCGACAGCCACATCACTTCTCCATTGCTGGTCACACATTTCTTTCCTTAACCACTATTATTGCTGTAAAAAACAAACTGAAACAATCACCATTTGGCATTCAACTGTGTTGAATAGAATTGGAATAAGATCCGCCATAGAGAGCTCGCAAAGAGTCGCCCAGTGTCGACGCCATCTTGAATCTCCCATGTGGAAGCGACAGTCAAGAGGGCACAACGTCTCATCTTCCTCAGGTGGCCTAGGAAATTTGGCATGTTTATGAGGACCCCACCAACTTTTACAGATGCACCATAGAAAGTATTCTACCTCAGTGCATGATGGCCTGGTACGTCAATTCCTCTGCCCAGGACTGTAAGAAACTACAGAAAGTTGTGTGCACAGCCCAGACCATCATGGAAGACAACCTTCCATCCATGGATTCCATTTACATTTTTTGTTGCCGCAGAAAGGCTACCAACATCATCAAAGACCACTCCCACCCCGTTATTGCTCTCTTCCAACCTCTTCCATCAGGCAGAAGATACAGCAACTTGAACATACGCACCAACAGGTTCAAGAACAGCTTCTCCCTTACTGTTATTAGACTGTTGAATAGACCTCTCTAACTTCAAGTAATGTTGATCTTGCTTTGCGCACCTCCTGTGCAGCCGTAACCTTGTATGTTTCGCTCTGTCTGAGTACCCTATGATTTGTATATCCTTGTTTGCTATGATCTGCCTGCACTGGTCTTAAAACACAGCTTTTCATTGTACTTGGGTATATGTGACTATAATAAATCAAATCAAACCATATAGAATTGTACAGAATTGACAGCACAAAACAGGCCATTCAGCCCCACTGGTCCATGTAAGCTTTGTGTTCCACACAAGTCCACGCTGGCACATATCCTTCAGCCTGTTCCCTTTAAGTGCATATCTGCAAACACATATATTAAGAGAAGTAAATGACGGTCTGTAGAATGGCTGCAACATGATGTTAGCATCTCTGCTTCCCTCTTTAGAAAGACGAAATGACTCAGAAGATCTGCTTGGGAGAATCCTCCATCATTGAAGATGAATATGAAGCTAATAATGCCATGTCAGAATGGGCCGGAGGAGGAGGTGGTGGTGGAGGGGCAACTTATATCTTCAAGGTATGCACGTTCTGTTATAAGAGGCACAGCTGCGTGTCTTCACAAAGAACCACACTTTGACTTATTAAATTCTGAAAAGCCACCTAAAGTTTTCTGCCTCTTAAATTCCATATTTCAGGCACAGTTCTCGGGCTCCCTTAGGCATGTAGTGTGCACTCCAGTGGAACCTTGAGCATTGCTTGGCAGATCTATAGCTGATCTTCTCACGTCCTTCGATTATTGGTGACTCAATAGCACACTTCAACTGCTGTCACTCACTTGACCGATTGAAGGAGAGAGAGAAAGAAAGCCGTGCATATACATAGCACCCACCACAACCTTGGGCTGCCCAAAGTATTCTACAAACAGTGAAGTACTGCAGACGTGCAGTCACTGTCTTGTGATTTACGAAACACAATTTATACTCAGCAAATTCCCATAGTCACCGATAAGGCAGTAACCGGTTAAACTGCGTTGTTAATGATATTGTTTGAGGAGTAGCAGTCAGCCACAGGCCTCTCCTGGGCCCCTTCAAAGTAATCATGTGGGATCTGTTAAGTTCACCTGCGAGGGTAAATGGAGTTTAGATTTAATGTCCGATTTTAAATATAGCACCTCCAACCACGCAGATGATGGGCTCAAATTTCTGGAAATGTAAACCTTCTAATTCATGAGTAAGGTTGCTACCACTGAGCCCCAGCTACAGTCAGAATTGCTGCTTATCAAGGAGAACAACATACAAATGATTCATGAAGATTATTGGAATTGATCTCAAATGAGATGGTCATTGCTCCAAAGAACAGAAAGTGGGTAGAGCACATGATTGAACGTGCACAAAGAAATCAATGGTTTTCACTGAATAGGAACCTAACCCTGTCTAAAATACAGAAACAGAAAAGCTTATTTGTTGCATTTGAATGCTTTTTTGTTAACACAGATGGAGAATGGTGTTTCAGTGCCACTGTTGATTGCTGCAGGAGGTGGTGGTAAAGCGTATTTGGAGGACCCAGATGCCGTAATGGACGATCTGATGGTGGAACAGTATGAAAATGATACATCAGTGCCTGGATACAATGGACAACTGGGGGCAGCAGGTTAGTGGATGGAACAAAAAAAAAGACTTGTGATCTTCTATTGCCTAGAATTCCCAGTGGGACAAGATAAAAATGAACAGGGTTACAGTAACTGAAAAGATATTTTGCTTAGAGATATTCCATTGTCTTCCAAAGATTTAAAAGAAGCTCCAAGCCAAGCTGCTGTGTGCCTTGGAGGGGAACTTGCAACTGGTGATATTGCCATGCATCAGCTGCCCTTGTCCTCCTGATGGTAGAGGGTGTGGGCTGGGAAAATGCTAAAAACCTTCGGAAAGTTAGTACAAAGAGCTCAATTATACTTGTTTAATAGGTTCTCAATTGAAACTCAGCCAAAATAAGCTGCAGGTCTTTAAGGTCTTAGCGAAAATTTGTACTGGGGTTGTGGATGCAGTTGTTCATTAGCTCGCCGAGTCGTTGCGCGGATGTTTTGTTACCCCTGTAGGCAACATCATCAGTGTGACCTCTAATGGAAGTGTTGGTGTTCTGCTTCCTTCCGGATTTATATGATCCTACAGTGTGATGGTCTTGTCGCTTCCGGTTCTGTTATTTAGGCAGCGGTCTGTATACGGGGTCTATTTCTGAGAGTTTGTTAATAGAGTCCCATGTTGAGAATCAGGCTTCCAGAAATTCCCTTGCATGTCTGGTGTTCGCTTGACCTAGTATGGTCACTTTGTCCCAGGCGAACTGATGGCCTTCATTGTCTGTGCATATTGAAACAAGTGAATATTGGTCATGTCTTTTTACTGCCAGCTGGTGTTCATGTATCCTGGTTGTCAGTTTCCTCCTTGTTTATTCAATTTAGTGTTTATTGTACTCGCTGCATGGTATTCTGAATATCTTGTTGGCCTTGCTTACTGTCGGTATGGGGACTTCAGTCTTTGATAACATTTGGCGCAGTATCCCTGAGTGTTGATGGTTCTTCTCTGATTCACAGCATAACACACCTAGAAAGACAGATCCTTGATATAGAGGAGTGTCTGGTGGGAATGTGAGTGACTGAGAAGGCCACTTTTATTGCCAATCCCCAAAAACACTACCTTGCTAATTTCCAAATTGTGATGCATACTGACCAACGATGGTGGACAGTGAATCAAGATATGAATCAATCATCATTTAACTGAATGGTGGAAAAGACCCAAGGCCTGACTAGTCTACTCCTGTCCCCATGTTTGATATCATGAATTGAAGGGAAAGTATCCATTTTTGGGAGAATGCAACATCAGGGGCCATAAATAGAAGCTGGGGTAATAATGCTTATCAGGAAATAAATGGTTGAAATGTGGAATTTGTTGACAGCAAGTTAAATAGTGTTGGTCCACTTAGGTGGCACTGAGATGAAAATATGAAGGAGAAAGAAATAAAAGATCATGCTGCCAGTGAGATGGCATAAGGGAGGAAGGAGAGTTCTTGTGGAATTTGGGCACTAGCAGAGACCAGATGAGCTGAAAGGACTGTCAATGTGCTGTGAAATTCTCTGTAATTCTGAGGCAAGGGCATGTTGAGTAAAGGCTGATACACAAGCTAACAATGCTCTAATATATAGAGTTTCCCTTCAATAAGTACCACCCCAAGTCAGGAAAATTCTGGGACAGGAATTTACTTGGTATGATTTGGACAATTTTAGCGAGCAGGCAAATGCATGGCAGACGAGGTATAATGTGTGTAAATGTATGAGGCTATCCACTTTGGTAGCATCTCCCCCTATCCCATTCAATGAGACCTTTGTCCACCTTCATATGCAAGTGCAGCAGGAAGTGAAGAAAGCAAATGGTATGATAGCCTTCATAGTGAGAGGATTTGAACACAGGAACAGGGATGTCTTGCTGCAATTGTACAGGGCTTTGGTCCTTAGAGTATTGGAGTATTTTGGTCTCCTCATCTGAGGAAGGAAGTTCTGGTTACGGAAGGAATAAAATGAGGGTTTACCAGACTGATTCCGTGATGGCAGGACTGATGTTTAAAGAGACATTGGAGCAGTTGGAACGGTATTCACTGAAGTTTAGAAGGCCTACTCCTGTTCCTGTTTTCTATGTTTCTATGTCTTTGGGCAGGAAGGCGACCTTTATCTCTCGGTCACGTCTGAATAAAGTGGAGGAAGATGGATTTTATCAAGTTGGATAAGTTAAGCAAGGGTTGTCCACAGGATGATTGGAATCTTTTTTGTCTAATTTATTTGTCTGTGCCTTCATACCTGCAGGTGGAGGTGGAGGTTGGAATGACATTACCAAGCATTCTTGGGCAGGAAAGTCCCTGATGGAAGGTGCACTTGGGGGCCGTGCATGCCCTAAGGCTCTGAAGAAGCTGAAGTGGGCAACACACGGAGGCTTTGGAGGGGGTGGTGGGGCTTGTACATCGGGAGGAGGAGGTGGTGGATACAGAGGTAAGGCCTGGCAGACCTGAGCTGTACGACAAAGCATAACAATGCAGATGCTTGAAATCTGAAGTAGAGGCAGATGAAACATTCAGCAGGTCAGGCAATATCTAGGAGAGAGAGAAAACTAAAGGTAGCCCTTTAGGCCAGTGGCCGTCTCGCAGGACCAGTGATTACAATTTGCATCCATGAATCTTTAGGATACCTTTGAGTTGTACATGAAGACCAGAGGGATCATAGAATCTCTACAATAGGGAAGCAGGTCATTTGGCCCATCAAGTCCACACTGCACCTCAGAAGAGCATCCCACCCAGACCCACCCCCTACCCTATCCCCGCATTTCCCATGGCTAATCCACTTAACCTATGCATCCCGAGACATTATGGGCAATTTAGCATGACCAGTCCACCCTATCCTGTACATCTTTGGACTGAGAGGAAACTGGAGCATCTGGAGAAAACCCAGACACAGGGAGAATGTACAAACTCCACATAGACAGTCGCCCGAGACTAGAATTGAACCCTGGGTCTCTGGTGCTGTGAGGCAGCAGTGCTGACTACTGAGCCACCATGCTGCCCCGAATAATGTTTTCCCATCTCTACTTGCATTCAAACTTTAAGATCGAGTGTTCTTTATTTTTCTGAAATCTACAAATTGGTTTACAAATTATTGTGGGTGCTCCCATCCACACATCCCAAATTTACCTTTGTAGAGGTGGCAGTTGTTTGGGCCAGTCCCTGTGACAACAATGAATGGGAAGATCTGTCTTTATCCTGGTTTCCAATGCACTATTTGGACCTAAAGCCAAGTGCCACTTAATTTGGTGCCCCATAGAAAGCACGATCATGTTGCAAGGCAAATGTTGATATCATCACCCTCTTCTGAACAAACCAACAACTTTGCAACACAAGCAAGAACTAGCAAGGTAAACAATAAACAAGAATTCTGGCCTGAATGATCAATACACGGCAGCAGGTTGAGGTGTCCAATGCAGGTTTATTTTTGAGGTGCTTTTGACGTGTTCATCATAAACGACAACATTATATTGTCAGTTTAATAAGTAATGTCACAGCTCACCAGTTAATAAAAGTTCTTTTCAGTTCAGATGAGTTCCTTGTATCCAACTGAGATAAGTGTTACCTTCCTCCACATTGTCACCATCATATGGTGGATTTGTACCCACCCCTTGCCATTTCTGTCTACGCTTCAGAATAGTCGTGATGATCTGTTCTCTGCTCATTTCTCCATGCCTTGCAGTTGTGCACCTTCCTCTTCGATTATAGAAGTCTCCCATTTCAATGTCAGTTCACAATGACTAAGTGTCATGGAGTCATACAGCACGGAAACAGATCCTTCCATCTAACCAATCCATGCTGACCTTAATCCCAAACTAAACCACTGTCCACCTGCCTGGGCTTGGGTCATATTCCCCCCAAACCTTTCTGATTCATGTACTTACCAAAATGTCTTTTAAACATTGTAACTGTACCCACATCCATCACTTTTCTCTGGAACTTCATTCCACACATGATCCACTTTCTGTGTGGGGAAAAAAAAAGTTACCCCTCATGTCCTTTTCAAATCTTTCTCCTCTCCAGCTTGGTAATATCCTTCCTCTCCAACATCCTGTACAACCACAACATGACTTCCCAACTCCCATACTCAAAGATCTAAGCAATGGAGGCATGTGATGGGGGCAGAGAAATACACAAGGTGGTTTATTTGCTTTTCTTATTTGCTTAAAACCAGGCCAAATGATCCTCAAGCAGCTGTTGCCTTTCAAAGCGTGAGCCCTTCCACCATCACCACTGAAAGTTAACGGGTTCCATTGTTTGCCATGACTTGTAACCCTGAGTATGGGACCCTTAGCAGGACCTGGACTGATTCTGAAAAGGGCAGTGATGAGTACCTCCTGAAGTTTAGGTGACCTTATTTTCGAGTAGCAGCTCTGACTTAGAACAAGAAATCGTTCTGTACCTGGGAGGAGGAGGGATAAACGGCCCATTGATATTTCTTCTTTTTCCGAATTGATCAAAACCCTCCCACCTGCCTCCACAGACTGGGTGACCGTTTTGTACAACACCTATATTCTGCCTGCAAAAAAGACCTTGAACTTCCAGTTGCCTCCCCCTTCAACACATCACCATGTTTTCTGGCCAACATCTCTGCCTCAGGCTTGCTGCAGTGCACCAACAAAGCTCAGTGCAAGATGGAAGAACAGCACCTCATTTTCCATTTGGCAACACTGCAGCCTTCTGGACTCAATATCAAGTTCAACAGTTGTACGGCATGAGCACCTTCTCCCATGTACTTACTTCAACGCCACATACCAGCCCTTGTTATCACGTGGTCTGCTATTACACACACTTTATTAGCCACTAATTGACTCCATTAGCTGCTATTCATTCTCCCAGGCTAATTGTTAGCTACTCCTTTGTTTGTCCAACTGTTCTTCTCTCTCTTTGAGCTCTATCTCCACCTATCATATACTCCTTAGCCCCCCCATCCCCATCCTATCTGTTTTTGTTTCATTCTTTATCATGTTAGCTTTGTGGGATCTGATCCTTCCTCAGTGCTGGTAAATATATACCTTCACAAGCTAAGAAGTTGTTGAAAACTTTGGAATTAGAGACCAAACGGTCGCAAGTATGACCACAAAATCCCTATCAAGGTGTACTGGCAAACTCCCCTGATAAATGTTCCTTGATAATACAGACATAATAAGAATTAGAGATGACCTTATTGAAACATATAAGATTCTTAGGGAACTTGGCAGGGTAGATGGGGAAAGGTTGTTTCCCTTTTTGAGAGAGTCTAGCACCCAAAGGGCATAATTTTCAGAGTAAGGGGTCACCCGTTCAAGATAAAGATAAGGAGGAATTTCTTCTCTCAGAAGGTGGTGAATCTGAGACACTCTTTCCTGCTATCGAGGTTGTTTCGGTAAATATATTCAAGGCTGAGAGAGACAGATTTATAATCAGTAAGAGAATTGAGGGTGTTGGGGGAAAAAGCAAGAAAGGATGATCAGATCAGCCATGATCTCATTGAATGGCGAGCAAATTCAATGGGCTAATTGGTCTTCTTCTCTTCCTGTGTCTTATATCTTCTGGCATTAGTGTTTTAGAATAATCTGGAACTGAGCAGACTTAAAGAGAGAAGCTAACAGGCTGTGGAAGATACATGATAACTCTCAGACCTCATTGCCAATTAAATATTTTTGAAGCATAATTAGTTCTGTAATGTAGGAAACAAAGCAGGCAATCTAAGCACAGAATATTGCCACTATACAGCAACGAGCTGATGGTCTGATAATCTGGTGAAACCAGGATGACAGGCCCCAGTTTTTCTTCAAGATAATACCACAGGATCCTTACCACCCACCTGAGAATGATATCATAAAGTTTTACAGCACGGAAACAAACCCTTCGGTCCAACATGTCCGTGCCAACCAGATATCCTGAATTAATCTAGATTCATTTGCCAGCATTTGGCCCATATCCCTCTAAACCCTTCCTATTCATGTTCCCATCCAGATGCCTTTTAAATGCAGTAATTGTACCAGCCTCTATCATCTCCTCTGGCAGCTCATTCCGTACATGCACCACCCTCTGTGTGAAAAAGTTGCCCCTTAGGTCCCTTTTAAATCCTTCCCCTCTCACCTTAAACCTGTGCCCTCTGGTGTTAGACTCCCCTACCCTGGGAAAACGGCTTTGGCTATTCACCCTATCCATGACCTTCATGATTTTATAAACTTCTATAAGGTCACCCCTCAGCTTCTGACTCTCCAGGGAAAATAGCCCCAGCCCATTCAGCTTCTCCAAATAGCTCAATTCCCCCTCCAATTCCAGCAATAACCTTTTCTGAAACCTTTCAAGTTTCACAACATCTTTCCTATAGCAGCAGAGACCAGAATTGAAAGCAGCCTCACCTGAAAGATCGCACATTCAGTGGTACAGCACTGACTCAACACAGGTTAGGTGCTTGAGTAATTAGAGTGGGAGCTTGAACTTGGGATGGTGTGACTCAGCGGTCAGAATGCTGCACTTTGCAAATGCCGCGTTTAATGGTAATTGTAGTTAAGCTGCTGTATAACTAATAAGTTTGAGGTTCTCTGCTTCCATACATTTTTTTCAGGGGGTGATGCGTCATTAGCTGATGGGATCAGCGCGGATGGCTATAACGGAATTTCATTTGTCCATCAGGCCGGAGAGATCTACCTTCACCCATTGGCAGGTAAAGAGAAATGATGGGCAACTAATCTGGGCTTAGTTTCATGTTAAAGGAAAACATACTTCCAAAAATAACTTTGTGCTTTTCAAATCTGATTTATGTTTATTTAGCTTGTCTATGTATCCATACGCAGAGGTTTTAAGCAATAATTATCCTCAGCAGCCAGGTCTCAGTTAGGTATGTTCAAGCACAATCGTAGGAGCAAAGAAACATGAGTAGGCCATTCACCCTCTCTAGCCTCTTCCATCTTTCACTGAGATCATGCTTGATCCACTTCCTAGCTCAGTCTCCTTCACTTTGTTTCCATATCCCTTTGTACTCTTTGATAACGAAAAGCTATCGAACTCAGACTTAAAACGATTAATCGATCTATTACCTGTCATGGGAGAGAGTTCTATGCTTCTACCACTCATTACGTTTCTCAACTTCTGTCCTGAATAGCTTGGCTGTGAGTTTAAGGAGGTGCTCTCTTTGTCGTAGGCCTTCTCAACCATTCTATCAATTCCTCCCAAACTTCCAAAAATAAAAATCAAGTCACCCTCCAAGTTTTATACTCCATTGAATGGAAGCTTAATTTAAATTGTCTCAGTCATTATCTAACCTTCAGAATCCTGAATTGTGGTGAATCTGCACTCTTTCCAAGGCTAGCACTGGACAGGGTAGATGCAGGGAGATGCTCCTGATGGTGAGTGTGTCTAGAACCAGGGGTCACAGTTTGAGGATTCGAAATAGACCATCTTGGATGGAGATGAGGAGACATTTCTTCACCCAAAGAGTGGTAAGCCTGTGGAATTCATTACCACAGGACATACTTGATGCCAAAATATTGAATGTATTCAAGAAGTGGCTAGATATAGCACTTGAGGCAAATGGGATCAAAGGTTATGGGGAGAAAGCAGGATTAGGCTATTGAGTTGGATGATCAGTCATGGTCGTGATGAATGGCGGCGCAGGATCAAAGGGCCGAATGGCCTTCTTCTGCTCCTATCTTCCATGTTTCTATGTAATCATGCTTTCTAAGGAGAGATCCACAGTTACTGCAGATGTAGTCTAACCAGGGCTTTGTTTGTCTGCAGCAAACACCCTCCTTTTACATTCTGCACCTCCAATTATAAAGGCTAATATTTTAATAACTGTTTAATTACTTTCTGTGGCTAACGACTACATTTGAATGATATTTTGCATGTAGACACTTAAATCTCCTGGAAACCCTGCCATTCTTAACCTTTCGTTATTTACATAATGTTTGGATCAATCCTTTTTTAGCCCAGAATGGATGTCCCTGTACTTACTTGTGTTGCAATCTATCCATCGCTCACTTACTATGTGTCTCTTCTGAATGTAATGCTGCAGTCTACACTGCTTACAATATTGCCAATCTTTCTATCATTGGTGCACTTGGATATTTGACTCTCTATTGCATTATCTGCATCATTAATAAATATAGGGAATAGTTGATGCCCCAGTTCTGATCCTTTGTAGACGTTATTCACTGAATCGTAGGGGCTTGGTTTTTCTCAGAGAGTTCGGAGCATGTTTGGGTCAGCAACGGACCCCTCAAGTAACCCATCTCCTGGGTGAACTTGTGGGAGTCAACCAATTGTGAGATGGCCTCTGGGATTAAATGTCTGATTAGGTGTAGCAGATGGGCGAATGGTCAGAAGCCCAAAGGGGCTGAGTATTTTGAAGGAAATTGGCAGCACTGTGCATGATCAACAGCTAATCTGAAGACACAAAAGGAGGGAATCAGCTGCTAGAAGGGCAAATGCAGTCCTACAATTCCTGGATGCAAGTTAAGGTGAAAGTAGAATCTTTTTGGAGCATGGAGACAAGTTTCTTACCAGGAGATGGCAGAAGAAGACCAATCAATCTCACCCGAGCGGGCATGACTGGGAGTCACAGAGGGAGGAGAACAGCCAGTGTGTGGTGTGCGCAATGTGGATCCAGTTCAGGAAATCTACTTTGGGATCCTCTTGCAATCAGACAAGGTGAATGCCACGCAACTTTCACGACAGCCATCACTGTCTCACGTCGACAGCCTTCTCGAACACAGATGTCCTTTCTGTTTGTGACCACACATGTGAACGTCTGCCTTGGTTTGACTCTCAAGATCCATAAACAGCAAGGATGCGCGCCCTCAGAGCTGTGCATCCCATCTCACAGTGAACTGCCTCTGCCTCATCCCAACCGAGCACTGATTCCACAACAGTTATGATTCTTAAATTTCCTCATTGGTAGAAAAGAGAGCAGGCACCTTCCAGGACAGCCTCAGGAATGGGAGGTGACCATCTTGACAGCAAGAGGAGAAGACGTTCTGGGCATTTGTAGGGTGGTATCCGTGCCAGGCTATTGCTGATAGACAGTGGGGGTGTTCTCATTATTCGGGTATACATATATCACTTCCTCCAACATGTGTCATGAAGTTCACCGATATGAAAAATTTAATGATCAGGGAAATGCAAGGGCTTGATCTCTCTCTGTCACTTATATGCATTAATGATGATTGTCTTGTATTTCCCACAGGAGCACTGCCAGATGTTGAGTTAGTGATGAGGGATGACGTGTTTGAATCCTCCTCTAAGGAGCGATACCCTGGGAAGCACCGGCACATGACCAATCTCATTCCTTCCCTGGCACAGATACACTCACTGGGTCCAGCACCAGAGATGGAGAGGGTGGCACATAGTGAGGAGCACAGCCCATGTGTAGGAACAAAGGCTGAGGCAGAAACTGCAATGGCATGTCCCCTCCAGAGACTGACGAAGCGTCCAGTCCTGCTGAGCTGAGACTCTGGGTTTGTCCACTAAGTGGGTACCAGTGGACCATCAGAGGGAAAGGTGGCCTTGCATTCTCAAAGGCATTGTGTTCCCTAGCACTGATGATGGTGGAAGCCATTGCAGCAACGACTGGGGGATAGGAACACATGACCAACTCTGACTGAAACAGTTGCCAACCCCATGGAGAATCATTCAGAGGAAGACTAATGAGTTACCGTAGGCAAACAACAAAGACCTCCAGACGATAGCTGCAAGCGTTGAACAAATAACCACCTGGATAGGTGACCACAACATTAAAATTAGGACAACAAGGATGCGTTGTAAAGGCCCAGCCAGTGAAACCCGCATCCCTTGAGTGAATAAAACAAAATAAGGCCAAGTACTCACCCACACTTGGCTGGCAGGGAGGCACAGGTTGACTGTGAGAGAGGGCTGATGACACTGAGAGGCTTTCTTCTAGCTCAGGTGGTCACTGAGACAGAGGCACAACTCGGACTTCTATCCTCTATGACTGAGCCAACCCTGTACAAACGCAGCTGGAACAATGTTTGAAGGTGCCGTCTAGGCTCCACAGCTACATGTGGCTGCTCCCAGCTTTGCCTCAGCAACACAGTTGGAACCTTGTAGAGCTTATACAAACTATTGGAGTTGCGTGAGACTGTTGGTTGCCTGTGGAGGGTCGAGTGCGTGATGCGCTGGCGATTACTGGTACTGTTTGTGGCAATTGGGTGGTGTGTGTCTCTGCAATGTAAGCAGCAAGGCATGAAGGCAATTGTGCTTGCATTGCCCTGAATTGAAATGTGACTGGCAAAGGGAATTGCAGGCAACTCTGGCATGAAGGGCAACTTGTGGCTGTGCAATGAGATGAACTGGATGCACATACTGTCAGAGATTCAGTCACTATCTCGACAGTTGTCTCAGTGGGACTTCAAGTTCCTCTTACTGCAACAATCCAAAATAGTGGCTCAAAAGATAAGTTCCTGTTAGCGCTGCCCTCAGCACTGTGGCTGGTCTATAGAATACCAGTTTGCCCTTTTTATACTGGTGCAGTGGTGTTGCAGTGAGGCCCAATGCCTTCTTGCCTTCCATGGAACAGAGGACTTCATGAACTGAGTACAAGTTGGGGGGTGGGGGTGGTGGTGGTGGTGGGGCTGGGACAGTTTGGTGAAAGTGAAAATTCGGTACAGAGGGTGAAGGAGGTGCTGCTGTTTATCTTCTGCATCCTGTCTGTTAGCTAGTGAGTATTCTTTCAACTAAAAATTAGGAGTTAGGACTTTTGGTTAACTAGTTTCCAATTCCGTGATGTAATCAAAAATAGAAAGGATTGGACAGTCATGGTAGGGATAGTGATGTGCTGTGAATACAATATAGAATAGAATAAAAATTTATTGTCACTTGTACTTTTACCTGAGAAACACTGTGAAAAGTTTTATAACTCACCCCACCATGGCACCTATATAAAGGACAGAAGCCATACATAATAATAAAAAAAAGTAAAATTAAGACAATTTCATCACAGTTTAGTTAACAGCTCCTGGGCTTGGAGAAAGCTGATTTAGGAATGATGGATTACCCTCTGCGCCGGGCGCTGGATAGTAGGCCGGAAGCCTCCACCGAAGAAGATCATCATTCAGGCTGTGACTGCCACTCCTGGATGAGACTGCCTGCTGGTCAGCTGGACAACAAAGACGAAGAAGACCTCCTCATGGGGATGAGACCATCCTTTTCCTCCTTCAGGCACCTGGGCCTAGCCACGGACCTGGAGCCTTGGCCTAGCCTGTGAGTCCAGGCCGGGGGGTAGTCAACCTGTTCCTCGCTTGCCGGGAGACCGCAGGCTGGGGTGGAGCCATGTCCAGCTCGTCCTGGTGTACTGCTACTGCCGCCTGAGGCCTACTCTTTCACCAGCCATTTTCAAGATTTAAAAGAAAAGCTAAGAATAAAGGGGAATAAAAGAGCAAAAATGAAAAGAAAATAAAGAGAAAGAAAGCCGACGGTAGTGGATGACCCCAGGGTTCAGCACCTGTACTCTGCTGCCATTTTGAAAAATAATGAGAGTGTGTAGACTTCAGTACCTTTCTGGTAGACCTATATATGGTAAGCAGCTATAGATTGAGCAATTTAAGTTCAGAGTTGCTAGATTGAAATCTGACCGTAGACCATTGCAGGGTAGTAGATTGTAGGGGAGTTACATGGATACTTTACTCTGGAACAGTCACTGCCTTTCAGTTTGAAGACTTTGAGGTTTGGCTGATGCCAGGGTTAAAGGCTTAGAGCGGAATCTTCCCCGGCCCTGAATGACTTGGTCTATGGCAAGAAATTTGGGAGAATGTGAGTTGTCAAGCGAGGCTTTTCTCAACATTGGAACTGACAAGCCTCATTTTCCAACCATGCCTGGGACATTGAGATGAGATTCTCACGAGTTAGTGATGAGAGGCCTGTTAATCCTCATTATTACCTGATCTTTCCTCATGCATATGCACTATCCTGTTGTCTCACCTGCCAGACAGATCAAGACGTTGAGAATCCCTGACATGAAGGACTCCTGACCTCATCCTTGAACACGCGGCACCAACATGTCAGGGCACGCTCCATGGGCAGCAACTACGTGCCCCCCACATTAGCACCTAATGTATGCCAGTCTCACTACGTCATCGTGGCACATCTTCCATCTACTTACAGTTTGTTTTTGCACTTCGGTGCTGTACTTTGGAGCATACCAGCACCTTGCTCTCACTGCAGTGCTGCTGCTCGGATGCTTTGGACACAGCGGCAGACAGCCAGCTCATGCATTGGACCTGGGAGCTTCTCAGGGCTTCGCTCTCCGTCTCTTACCACCTTCTCACTCTGCGCCTGTCTTGCCTTTTTGTACTTTGTCCCCCTGTCAGCCAGCCAGAGCTTAAAACGCTCACAGTACCTCTGCCTTACCTTAGTGTTCAGCACAGACACAAAGCTAGGACGCTCTACATGGTTGTCAGCATCCATCAGTCAAGGAAAAGGACAACTTGCTGTAAGGCAGTATCTCTGTAGGATACACCAGTGGCCTACACAATAAATGCACTGGACATGCATCAACCCAATGGCCTTGTCTTAAAGGGGATGGGGTGGAGGGGCGGGGGGTGGCGGTGGCGGTGGTGTTGATGAGGTTTTCCATCAGTCAGAAATGGTCAGTGGTTAGTAAAGGACATCGTCCAGGGCACTGTCAGTCGGCCACAAAGGTGGCCATGGTCAGGATCCTCTCCTTGCATGGAGTGAGGGGCCAAATGTCGGACACCCCATCACCACCTGGCCCTGGTTTGATACAAATGGAAGGATTGAGTGAGATGAAAGTAGCTGGCACAGTTGTTGGTTCAGGTGTAGGTGGGGTGAAAATGGTGACGTGTCGTGTGTGAGTGAGTAGGAGGTGCAGAGACGATCCAGGTTTCGTCGTGTGTGGGGGTTTGGGGTGGATGACAGCAAGTGAGGGTAAATATTGCATGCAGAGTCAGAGTGGTAACAATAAATTAGGTAGAACTATAAATAATATTTTGTCGAAAGAGTCAGAGGAGTTGGGATCCAAAGAACCATAAAGCTCTATAACAACACTGGAAATGTCTGTGAAATAAAATCAACAATCATCCATTCAAATTCCACTTCTAAATATTGCTCCTCTTAGGAGTTCATAAAATCATCAGTCAGAGCCATTGAAATTCCGTTGAAATATACGGCTCCATTTCTGCTGGTCAATTCAGTGGTCACTTGCCTTTAAAGGACGTGGAGTTATATGATCAATCATAACATTTAATTAATTACAGTTAACCTACCCTAAAGCATCTAATTTTGACAGTCAAAGTTGGCAAGATCTTTTAATTCCTGACTCCACAACCCCAAGGTCACAGACTGACCGACCTGATGTGTTTTACTTAGGCTTCTGAGTTACAAATCCACACTGCCTCCCCATCCCAACACTGTCACTAAAGATCTCAACTCCTAAGAAATATAAAATTCAGAAAGGCACTAAAAGGCTCAAATGAAAGCTACTTTTTTAAAATTCCCTTCTGATGTTCAATAGATGTCCATTGAAACTCACTTTCACAGCCACATCTCCTGTCTCAGTGGTTATCTCCAGTTCTGACTTATTATGCGTGGGTTCCAAGTGCAGTTCCATCTTGAATATTTCATATCCATCGAAGATTATTGGTATCACTCTCTCTGGGACTGTTGTTCTTACTATAGTCTAAGATTCACATTGAATGCCATGCAACCATACATGTGTACTTTCCACCTCTCTCTCTGGAACCAGTAGACCCTTTCACAGGCCTCCAATGTTCTTTCTCCATCTGGACCTGTCCCTCTGGCCTCTTGCCCATGCTTGATCTTTTCATTGAGAACTGGTTGTGTGAACTTGACTGTCTTAACCTTGCTGCCCCCCTCACTAACTCTAAGCCATCTCCGTCTGAACTTGCTGCAGCCTATTCCCTTTGGTCTCATCCAGACCTTGTTATCAAACCAGCTGGCAGGGGTGTGCCTGTTGTTGGCTGTTGTAGTGACCTCTCAAACCCAGGGACTGAGGCCCAACACTCTGACATTTCATCCTCCCTCCTCTTGGACCATGACCCCACCAGTGAACATAAATGCTTTGTTTCAAGGATTGTCATTGACCTCATCTCCTCTAGAGATCTTCCCTCCCCAGCTTTCCACCTCAATCCTCCAATTCTAACTTCTTCCCAAAATCCATTGTCAGGACAATCCTGGTAGAACCATCTTTCCATTGAGTTGTGTGGCTAGTGGGCGTGTGAGTTGAGAGTGCTGGTTAAAACCCTTGGACTAAATAAAAAGGGGTCTGTTTCAACTCAGCAAATTCAAATTGTTGTGGGGATTGGTGTACATACATACAGATCCGAGACACATCCTCCATTTTAAAAGGCCTCCAGAGTTGGCATGACTCCAGGCAAACCCAGCTCAATGCCTTGACAGGAAGGTGTGAGCTTTCTATTGCCTGAGCTGTAGTATTGATTGCGGTGTCCTGTTGCCCTTCTAGTTTTGACAGCATGCTTACCATCTTTAAATGCACAACAAGCCTGCATTCTGGTCAAGAATTGGCCACTTCTGGAATACTTTGTCCAGTTCTTGTTGTCCTATTATTGGAAGAATATTATTAATCTGGAGAGGGTTCAGAAAAGATTTATCAGGAGGTCACTGGTAATGGAGGGTTTGAGTTGTAAGGAGAGGCTGGATAGGCTGGGATTTAGTCACTGGAGTGTCAGAGATTTAGGGGTGACCTTATGGAGGTTTATAAAATCATGAGGCATATAGATAAGGTGAATGGCAGGTGTCTTTTCTCTAGGGTGGGGGGCATATTTTAAGTTGAGAGGAGAAAGATTTAAAAAAGATATAAAGGGCAACGTTTTTACACGGAAAGTGGTTCGCTTGTGGAATGAACTGCCAGAGAAAGTGGTGAATGAGGATACAGTTACAACATTTAAAAGACATTTGGATAAGTTCACGAATAAGAAATGTTTGGAAGGATATGGGCCAATCATAGGCAGGTGGGACTAGTTTAATTTGGGATTATGGTTGGCACAGACTAATTTGTCCGAAGGGTCTGTTTCCATGCTGTATGACTCTATGAGTTAAGGGAAAATCACCATTGTGCATGCAATGCCCATTTTAATCCCAACATAGAACAAAACCTACCCTAATTATCAAAATGAAATTGGTAAACATTTGAAGGGTAAACATTGCAGGGCAACAAAGCAAGAATGGGAAGTTTGACAAAAGACCTGACACAGGCTTAGTAGGCCAAATAGCAGCTTTCTGTGCTGTAAAAGTCTGTGATCTTTCTAAATTGATAAAGGAAAGGTGATTTCCTGTTGTAGCAGCAAAGAGAAGCTGTTTGTCAAGAGGCAAGTGCAGTCTGTGGGAAAGAGGTGAGAAGGAGGGCTCACCTTTGGACTGTCAGACCGAAAGAGTGACACAGTAGCTCAGTGGTTAGCACTACAGCCTCACAGCATGGGACCTGGGTTTGATCCCAACTTCGGGCGACTGTATGGAGTTTGCATGTTCTCCCCATGTCTGTGTGGGTTTCCGCTGGGTGCTCTAGTTTCCTCCCACAGAGCAAAAAAAGTACAAATTAGGTGGATTGGCCATGCTAAATTGCCCATAGTGTTCAGGGATGTGTAGGCTAGGTGTATTAGCCACAGGAAATGCAAGGTTACAGGGATAGGGTAGAGGAATGGATCTGGGTGCGATGCTGTTCAGAGGGTCAGTGTGGAATTGTTGAGCTAAAAAAAGGCCTGTTTCCATGGGGATTCAATGTGAACCATTCAGCAAAACCTGGCTTTCTTGCTGACTTGAGTTCACAATTATGGGTTTTCGGTGAAGCTTGGTTTCAACTGCCTCTGATTAAATTGCTTTACACTCTGTTCACAGGCATGGAAAGTCACGGGGAAGCTGAAATTCGGATCCATATCAACTGTAGCCATTGTGAGTCAGACAACTGTGTACGGGACCAAGAGGCCAAGAAGATAGTGTGTCTGTGCCTGGGTGGGAAAGTTTTAGCCAAAGATAATGTTACCTGTACAGGTAAGAATAAATTTCAAGAAATTAGTGAGGTGTTGGTACAATTGATGTTTATCTCTATGTTTTCGGAATGATTGATAGTACCTCTGCATTGTCAGTGAAGTGACATTTGGCTTTCTGTTGTTTGTACAAAGGATGATTTTCTGTATATTGTTTGTGGAATAGAGGTTTGTCTCTGTGTTGTCTGTGAAGTGGATGTTTATGAACTGTGTGTAATGGAGGTTGTCTCTGTACACTCTGTAAAGGATGTTTGTCTCTGTAATGTTTGTGTAAAGAACGTCTGGCTCTGAACAGATTGTGTATTGGTTGCTTGTCTATATATTAGTGATTATCTCGGTTCTGTCTGTGTAATGAATGCCCATCCCTGTACTGTATGTAATGAAAGCTTGTTTCTGAACTATCTGTGTGATAGAGGTTTGTCCCTGTGCTCTCCAATGAATGTCTGGCTCTGTAATGTAAATGTGATCATGTTTGAATCTGTATTGTTCAATTCTGTAATGTCAGTGTAATGACAGGGGTTTTCACCTTGTTTTTAATGAATATAACTAATTAAAAAGAATGAGGGCCTATTATTCACAAGCAACTCCTTCTCTGTATTGCCTGATCATTTCTTTTCTTCTATTGGAATGGATTTTTAAAAATTCAGTTAATAGCCAGATTACTGAATGTAGGTACAATCTAGTTGCAATTGATATATGGATATATTATCAGCAATTGGTGGGAATACAGTGTATTTCGAAGAGTGCTGATGGAAATAGGCCTACTGTACTTGGCCATTGCCCTTGTGGTCTATAATATCTGCCACTCATTACTATTTTGAAAATGAGCCACCATGGCTTTCAGAACAATTGTTTTTTCAATGATCATAGTATGTTGATAATGGAAACCTACTTGAATGTGAATAAAAGGCTTAATGAGTGCTTGTTTTATCTCCCTATTTATCCACAGTTCCTGGAAGTGCCATTCAAGAAAGCCATCTTCCTTTCTCCCTCATAATTGTCGTGGTTACGTCCACCATTGTTACTGGTGTAGTTCTAACCTGTGCTGGACTTTCTCTCAGTAAGAATTTCATTAAACTTTGTACTGCACAGCTCCCTTCTCAACAAACATTTCACAAGCTATGAGCTCAGGAGAATTTTACTTTTTGGTTTTAAAGTGTTGTTGATAGTTGCTTTCTCCAATAACGCCATTCTGTTCATGAATGCATCATTGAAAACATTCAACCATTTGCTTCACTTCCTCCAGTCCACTCATATCTGAAACAGCTAGGGAAGAAAGTTAGCAACACAAGAGATAATAGTGTAAATATGGGCAACATATGGCTATATCTTTAATTCCATTTAAGTTCTTTGGAGAGATGGAGTGCTTAGCTTTGTCTATTCCAATCTGTACCAGAGCTGGTCACCCAGATGTTGAACTTGGGAAGACCTAGTGTGCATATTTCAAAGTGCATAGAATATCAACTCTTAAGATAGTAGGACAACTTGCATTTATATTGCACTTTTAACAGAGTGAAATATCCCAAGGTTCTTCCCTGGAGTGTTGTCAAACAAGAACTAAGCCAAAGAAGGATATAATAAAACAGGTAGCCAAACAGTTGGACAAAGAATTGTCAGAGATAGTTGTTCTTACAGACACACTTAAAGAAAGAGAGAAATGTAGACAGGTAGACATGATTAAGGTGGGACTTCCCAAGGTTAGGGCCAAGGGATCTGAAGGAACAGCCATTAACAGTGAAATAATGAATATTGGTGAAGCAACTGATGGAGCACTAAGATCTAAGAGATTGTAATGTTTGAAGGAAGCTAGGGAAGATCAAGGAATCTGAGCAAGAAGAGGAGGCAGTTAAATGTGAGGCCAGCAAGGACAGGGTTCATGTATGAAGATGACGTGATGTAAGTTAGAATCCTGGAGCTACTTCAGGATAAGATGAAAGAAAATATATATCAAATCTCATTCCTCCGATTCTCTCTATCACTCGTCTTATCCACCTGCATTTCAGATGTCACAAGGATTTTGCCTACTTTACCCCATTGTTCAAATTATTCCAATTACTTAGCACTGTTTAAGCCAAACTGCCTTTCATCTTGGTTTCCAACTTACTTTCAATTCATTTTGGCTGGTTATAATTTCTTGAATTATTTTAAAATAATAATTATGTTTCGGCAATGTCTTTCCATAAATGTTTTATTGTTAGACTGTATGATACTGGACTTTGTAAGGAACATAGGAACAGGAGTTGGCCATTCAGCCTGTCAAGCCTACCCTGCCAATCAATACAATCATGGCTGAGCGAACACCTCAATGCCTTTTACACATCCATTACCATAACCCTGTATGATACGGATTGCTCGCGTTGGACTGGGGTGGACAAAATCAGAAGTCACACGACACCAGGTGATAGTGCACCAGGTTTATTTGGAATGTCAAATTTTTGGAGCTGTGCTCTTTCTTCATGCAAAGTGACTTCTGACTATAACCCTGTATGCCACTGGTAATCAGAAATATATCAATCTCTACCTTAAGCATAATCAAAGACTGAGCCTCCACAGCCATCTGTGGTAGAGAATTCCAAAGATTCACAACCTTCTGTATAAAAAAAAACTTTATCTCGGACCTTAGTCCATATTTATGAATTGTGTCCACCGGTTCTAGTCTGTGCAACCAGTGGAAACATTTTTCCTGACCTGCACTGTCTATCCGTTTAAGTATTTTGTAAGTCATAAAATACCTGAATTAGATGATCTTTAATCTTCTAACCCCAAGGGAAATTAAGCCTAATCTATGAAACATGCCCCCACACTGTAACTTTTTGATGTATCTGTTCTGCACCCACTCCAAGGCCTGTTCCTATGAGGTCCAGTGCTGATCTAGTCATCCAGATGTGGTTTTACCAGAACTCCAAACAGTTGTAATGTCACTTCCAACACTTCCGTGTTCCAGTTCTCTTTGAGAAAGTCAAAATTCCATTAGCTTTTATGGTTTACTTTATGTAGCTGTTAAATAGTTTTGGAGGTTACTGAACCGGACCCCTAAATCTCTCTGCCCCTCCACAGTTCCTAGCCTCTTCCCTTTTATTTTTCTTGAATTCAAGTGGAAGACCTACATTAGCCTCCATCTGCTACATTTTTGTCCACTCACTTAATCTATCAACACCGCTTTGCCCCATTTTTCTCCCATCTGACATGTGTACTGCACCATCTAACTTAGACTCCCATTTCTGTTCCCCAGTTGGTTGAGCAGAGATGGGAAACATCCTGACTCCCTAATCCCAACTTTCGAAAATGCCGTCCACGCTTCCATTTTCCATCCAAGGTGGATGTGGAGCTTGATTGGGAGTTGGGTCATGCAAAGGAGGTTGCCAGTTTCCCAAGGGTGGGCAAACCTGCCTCAGGGCTCCAGAAGCCAGGCCAATGATTAAAATAATGGAGTAAAACGTAATACATTCCTCCAGTCCTTGTCCGTAAGTGGTCAGCTGCCTCTGTGAACGACGCAAGCATCAATCATTGTCCACCTTGCAAAAATGGGAATTGATGGGTCTCAGGACTAAGGATTTCCAATGTCTTCTGCCATTTTTTGCACTGTGGAAAGAGTTTCTGTTCTGGTGAAAATCTTGGCCTTGGCATCATCAGCGAATTCAGACCCTTCATTCAAACCATTTATAAAGCTGTAGTTTCAGTACAGATCCCTGATGGGCACCACAATTCACATTCTACCAAACTGTTTGTATTAAACCATTAAACCTGCTCCGTCTGCTACTTTCTAACAATTCCTTAACCAAGCCAGTAGGTTACCTCTAATTTTATACACCATTTTCACTTACAGTCTCTTAAATGTGCATTTAATATGTCAATACTTTTATTCCACATCGACTTGAGTTTATTTTTCTAGAATTTTACTCTGATTTTTCACTTTCAAACAAATGTTATCTCTGCTCTGCTGCCCGCATTGGCTGCTCACCTAATATTCCACCAATGGTAAAAGCCCATCAGTTAAATGGTCATTACTTATGTAACAGCCTTGAAAGCCAGCTTTTTGAATCTCAACTACCTTAACTTATTGTCCAGGCCCTCAGTGTCTCAGTATGGATATCTCAGTGGTAAACAGGAGTAGGGACAGTTGCTAGTTTCATCCTCCCCAATCAGGGGATGTAGCATCTCCACTGCCCAAAGCCATGAGCTAGATATCAGCACAGACCAAGGATGGAGTGTGGGATTTGTCTGATCTGCATAGTTCAACTACACTTTATATAAGCTTAATGAATTGCAAGGAAACCCTGTATTACTTAATCATAAAGCAGATGAATGACCAATAATCCTGAATTATATGCTTATTTAGTTGAGTCTGAACAAATATCTACTGGTAGATGTTTTATCTCATAGCTTGTATCAATATCAGTTCAGTAGATAGTTGTGCTGTAGATTACCTGCAACCATATCCAAATTAACAAAAGCCTGATACAATTCACAGATCCTGAACTTCCGTCTTGAATTTTTAGGTGAGCAGAAGCATTTTCCTGTACCCTGCATTAGTTTGCAAAAAAAAGTGTATTTATCAGGAGCTATATTTGTGCCAGGCAATAATTCTTTGTAATTAGAGCTGAGCCTTGGATTTTGCATATTTCTGCTTTGGCTTCAGCAACCATAAAGCTTAGTATTGTGAAGCTGCTGACCTCCTAAGTGTGCAGCCAAGTGAGTCAGCTGGTCTCTGACATTCTGTGTATGTTACTCTGCTGGCTAGGCACCTACCTGTGATGGATACACAGATGCATGCATGGGACCTCCTTGCATCATAACAGTGGACTTTACTTCAAAAGCTTACCATTTGTAATAAAGTAGTTTAGAATATCCTGAGGCTGTATAATACGCTGTGTAAAAGCAAGTCTTGCTTCTTCACTGTGAGGTTACTAATTCACCAAGAGCATGAAAGAGATTGCCCTCCAAGTTACCCGCTCTCTATGTGGAAGCAATGGCTTTGTGGTATTATTATTGGACTGTTTTTTC